CAGCCTCCCAAAGTGCCGGGATTACAGGTGAGAGCCACGGCACCCAGCCTGAGAACTTTAATGGTTTTATGCACCATTTTTATTATGATAGTAAAAAATTCTATATGTGTCTGTATATTTACATTTAATAGAGAGCTTTATATTTATATATCATTTTATGATGCCATCTAGCATCATTTTGGTTTTCAACATAATGGACTCATATTAGCATTTCTCTTTGTTTATATGCAGAGTCTATGTTTCTCAGGCTGTTCTTGAATTCTTGGTCTCAAGAGATCTGACTGCCTTGGCTTCCTAAAGCTGTAGAATTACAGGCATGAGCCACTGTGTCGGGCTACCACATAACATTTCTTGTAGGACGGTGCTAGTTGTAATGAACACCCTGAAATTTGATTTAGGAAATTCTTTATTTTTATTTTGTTTTCAAAGTAAAATAATTTTGAATTAAGTATTATGGTAGAATTTTTTTTTTGTTACATCAAAATTTGGGAATTTCTCAGCTTTCTTTTTCTTTAATTTACCTCTGTATTACTTTTTCCCTATATTCTTCTTCTAAGTTTTATTTCATGACTATATTCTACTTGATGTTGTCCAATAATTTTGAAATTCCATATTTTTCTTTTGTTTTGCAATTTTATATTTTTGTGTTATATATTTTATGGTATGGCAGCTTACACCAGTTAACTGTGTTTTAATGTTTTAGTTTATATTATAATTGTGTATGACAATGTTTAACTCTGTACAATTTAAGACAGATTGGAACAAAATCAAATGTAAATCAGCCATACGTCTATTGCCAATATAATTATTTCCGTGTTTCTTTGCCTGTATAAATATTATCCCTGTGTTTTTTATGACTTGTATATTTGTTGTGTAGGTTTGTTGTGAATGGTTGTTCAATCTTCTCTAGGTGAGCAGTCATAAACATTCTCCTAATTTCAATATCTATTGTGAATCTATATTTTTGTGTGGGAGAAATGCTTGTGGATTTGAAGATTATATAAAAACGATCATAACTTTGTATCTTTTTAAAAGTATTACTGTTTATTTTTACTTGTCAGAGCCACATAACAAAATATATTGCCAACCATTTTAAAATAATGCTGTTTAGGCTGGGTGCAGTGGCTCATGCCTGTAATCCAGCACTTTGGGAGGGTGAGGTGGGCAGATTGCCTGAGGTCAGGAGTTTGAGAGCAGCCTAGCTAACATGGTGAAAACCCGTCTCTCCTGAAAAGACAAAAATTAGCCAGGCATTGTGGTGGTCACCTGTAGTCCCAGCTACTCAGGAGGCCGAGGCAGGAGAATCGCTTGAACCTGGGAGGTGGAGGTTGCAGTGAGCCAAGATCATACCACTGTACTCAGCCTGGGCAACAGAGCAAGACTCTGTCTCTGAAAAAAATAAAATATGCCGTTTAGACATATTAACTATATGACAGTGTTATGAAACATATCCCTACAATGTTTTTATCTTGCAAAGCTAAATCTCAATACACATTAAACAAGAACTAATGTTTCTGATTTTCTGGCACTTTGCAAACACCACTCTGTTTTCTTTTTCTAAGAGTGTAACTGCCTCGCATACCTCATACAATCTCTTTTTGTGGCTGGCTCATTTTGTTTTGTGTAATGTCATCAAGCTTTAGGTGGTTAGAATATTTTTGGCTTTTTAAGTCCTGGGTGATATTCCAGTATTTTTATATTTTAAATTATATCTACTGAATAATTTGGTGACAGAAAATTGCATTGCTCTTACCTATTGGCTTTCAGTAACAATGCTGCAGTAATTATGGGTATGCCAGTAGCTCTTCATATGAACACAGATGTGAAAGTTTATATATGTCTCGCATTCTATTTTTTTGACCATTATACTCATACCAAATTGTTTTTATTCTCTAACTTTGTAATGTATTTTGAAATCAGGAACTGTACTGATAACATGCTTCCTTTTTTTTTTTTTTAAGAAGACTTTGGGTACTTTATCATCTTTGGGGATTTCATATACTTTTGGGGTTTGCTGTTTCTATTTCATCACAAATTGCATTAAATTTCTAGATTACATCGAGCAGTATGGACATCTTCAAAATATTAATTATGTCAACCTTTGAACAGGAGCATGTTGGAGTGTGTTGTTTAATTTCTATATAGTTGTAATTTTTTCAGTTTTTGTCTTTTGTTTTACACTCATTTCATTTTGATCATAGAACGTAATTCATGTAAATTTTCTGTTTTAAAAAGTTTGTTAAGACTTCTTTTTTTGGCCAGGCACAGTGGCTCATGCCTATAATCCCAGCACTATGGGAGGCCAAGGTTGGTGGATCATGAGGTCAAGAGATTGAGAACATCCTGGCCAACATGGTGAAACCCTGTTTTAACTAAAAATACAAAAATTAGCTGGGCATCATGGTGCACGCCTATAGCCCCAGCTTCTCAGGAGGCTGAGGCAGAAGAATCGCTTGAACCTGGGAGACAGAGGTTGCGGTGAGCCAAGATATATAAACTCTGGAACAGAAAGACTTATTGTTTTATTTGATTCTTGTATCTTTATCTCTCATTTTCTCTTAATTTGTGTATTTTTTATTTCTATGTTGATATGCTTTTACTTCTTTCTTATTTTGTTTTGTGTATCTTCACAAATATATTCTTTGTGCTACCTTGGGGATTACATAAAACCTCTAAAAGATACAATATACTTCCGTCTGGTATTTAAAAAAAAAAAAAAAACTTAGTTGCATACAAAAATATTTTCTCATTACATTTGCCCTCAAATTTGTCATTGATGGTTCAAATTATATCTTTTTATGTTGTATATTCATAAAGATGTTTATAATAATTTCTATTTTTAACTTTCAAATTTTAGAGAATTTTAAAATGTTTTTTTGCACCATTATAATAATGCTTTAAAAAAATCAATTTTTTGTGTTTCTGCATGTCTTTTCCAGAAAATAAATGTATTTTTATATGATTATGTGTTGCTTTGTTGAATAATGTTATTTTCAGTAGAAACAACTGCTTTTAGCACCCTTTTTGGCATTTTGTATGGAGTGCCAATACACCTCTTCAGAATTTGGTTATTTTTGAAGTTTTTTTTTTTTTTAATTTAGCAGGACATCTTTGCTGTTGGTATTATACTCACTTGAAAACTATTTTTTTTTTCAGGACTTTGATATATATCAGACAGTACCCTTGTGGCCTGCAAAACTTTTGTTGATAATTTACTAGCTATCTCATAAGACCATGCTTGCAAATGATGCATCACTTTTATCTTGCAGTTTCCAAGATTCTCTTTTTTGCTGTGACTTTTGAAGTTGTGCTTATATAAGTGTTTGTTATAAATATCTTTGTGTGTATCCTACTTTGTTTTTTGAGCTTTTTTTTTTAGAGATGGAGTCTCACTCTTGCTGCCCAGGCTGGAGTGGAGTGGCATGATCTTGGCTCACTGCAACCTCCACCTCCTGGGTTCAGGCAATTCTCCTGCCACAGCCTCCCACGTAGCTGGGACTACAGGCCTGTGCCACCATGCCCAGCTAATTTTTGTATTTTTAGTACACATGGAGTTTCATCATGTGGGCCAGGATGATCTAGATCTCCTGACCTCATGGTCTGCCTACCTCGGCCTCCCATAGTGCTGGGATTACAAGCGTGAGCCACTGCACCTGGCTGAGCTTTTTGTTTTTATGTCATTTTTTTCTATCTAAATTATTTTCAATTTTCAATTTTTTTTTTTTTTTTGTAGAGATGGGGTTTCACCATGCTAGCCAGTGTGGTCTTGATCTCTTGACCTCGTGATCTGCCCGCCTTGGCCTCCCAAAGTGCTGGGATTACAGGTGTGAGCCACCGCGCCCAGACCTATTTTCAATTTTTAAATTAATATATATTTTTTATGGTTTTTAATATTTTTGATAAAACTATATTGCTCTGTTTTGTATACATTATAATCTATGATTGACATTTGGACATTAAAAAAGGCTACCTGTCACAACTTTATAATGTAGCTTTGTTATGGCATAGTCTGAGCAATTGTCTTGGTTAGAGATTCTGGGAGTCTCTCAGGTGTGTTCCTAGAATGTGTCTTGTCTACAATTTTGCGCTTATTTTTTATTTAAAGGAGTATGTGTTTCTTTTTTTTCTTTTTTTTTTTGAGACAGAGCTAGACTGTGTCTGGAGTGCAATGGTCCAATCTTGGTTCACTGCAACCTCCACCTCCTGGGTTCAAACAATTCTCTTGCCTCAGTCTCCCAAGTAGCTGGGAATACAGGGGCAGGCTACCACACCTGGCTAATTTTTTAAAAATATATATATTAGTAGAGATAGGGTTTCACCATGTTGACCAGGCTGATCTCAAACTCATGTGAACTTCAGGTGATCCACCAGCCTTGGCCTCCCAAAGTGCTGGGATTACAGGTGTGAACCACCTCATCTGGCGTCTTTGTGTTTCTTCTTAATAGTCAGTAATCATTTGCTTACCTGTCTTCTGTGTGTGGTACTGTAGTCCCTCTGCTGTAACATTTAGCTTTGGTCTCAGCAGACATAAACTGTCATTCCAAAGTATACCACCATTTCTTTCAGCACTATGTCAAGGAGCCAGAAACCAGTGTCTAGAAAGGCCTCCAGAAGCAAGTAGTAAATATGTATGTGCCGTATTTTACTTGTCTTTTTAAAAAGAAACCAAAAGTTGGCAGTTTACTACGAAACGCACTATGTTATATTGGGGAGCAGGAAGGCTGTGCTGGGTAAATGTAATAGACTTTTCTTTTTCTTCTATGTTACTCCCTGTGTTGTGATCATCTGGGGCACTTCACACACAACTCTTTTATAAATTTTCCTCAGATGTATTTTTGTTATGTTTTTGTTACATTTACATGTCTATAAAAAATAGGGCCTGTGGTATTTTGCTGTGCCATCTTGTATATGTAGCTTGTATAATTTTCTGGGTTAGATTTGTAAAGCATATTCATCTGATTCTAGTAAATGGAGTAATTTGTTATTTTTATTTCTTTCAGTTATATATTCTCATTTTGCCCAAGACCTTTGGCCAGTGCAGGGCATAAAAGATTCTTTCCAAGAAGTCATATTGAGAAGATACGGGAAATGTGGACATGAAGACTTACAGTTAACTACAGACTGTAAAAGTGTGGATGAGTGTAATCTGTACAAAGAAGGTTATAATGAACTAAACCAGTGTTTGACAACTACCCAGAGTGAAATATTTCAATGTGATCAATATATGAACGTCTTTTACACATTGTCAAATTCAAATATACATGAGATAAGATATACTGGAAAGAAACCTTTCAAATGTAAAAAATGTGACAGATCATTTTGCATGCTTTTACATCTAACTCAACATAAAAGAACTCATATTAGGGAGAATGCTTACCAATGTGAAGAATGTGGTAAAGTCTTTAACTGGTTCTCAACCCTTACTAGACACAGGAGAATTCACACTGGAGAGAAGCCCTACAAATGTGAAGAATGTGGCAAAGCTTTTAAGCAGTCTTCAACCCTTACTGCACATAAGATAATTCATACTGGAGAGAAACCTTACAGATGTGAAGAATGTGGCAAAGCCTTTAACCGGTCCTCGCACCTTACTACACATAAAAGAATCCATACTGGAGAGAAACCCTACAAATGTGAGGAATGTGGCAGAGCTTTTAACCGGTCTTCACATCTTACTACCCATAAGATTATTCATACTGGAGAGAAACCCTACAAATGTGAGGAATGTGGCAAAGCTTTTAACCAGTCGTCAACCCTTACTACACATAAGATAACTCATGCTGGAGAGAAACCCTACAAATGTGAAGAATGTGGCAAAGCTTTTTACCGATTCTCATACCTTACTAAACATAAGATAATTCATACTGGAGAGAAATTCTACAAATGTGAGGAATGTGGCAAAGGCTTTAATTGGTCCTCAACCCTTACTAAACATAAGAGAATTCATACTGGAGAGAAACCGTACAAATGTGAAGAATGTGGCAAAGCTTTTAATGAGTCCTCAAACCTTACTGCACATAAGATAATTCATACTGGAGAGAAACCCTACAAATGTGAGGAATGTGGCAAAGCCTTTAACCGGTCCCCAAAACTTAATGCACATAAAATAATTCATACTGGTGAGAAACCCTACAAATGTGAAGAATGTGGCAAAGGTTTTAACCAAATCTCAAACCTTACTAAACATAAGATAACTCATAGTGGGGATACATCTTACAAATACGAAGAATGTGATAAAGCCTTTAACCTGTCCTCAACCCTTACTACACATAAGGTAATGCATACAGGAGAGAAACCCTACAACTGTGAAGAGTGCAGCAAAGCTTTCGACCAGTCCTCAAACTTTATCGAACAAAGTAATTCATACTGGAGGGAAACCCTACAAATGTGAAGACTGTGGCAAAGCCTTTAACCAGTCCTCAACTCTTACTAAACATAAGAAAATTCATACTGAAGAGGAACTCTATGAGTGTGAATAATATGGCAATGCTTTCAACAAGTCCTCAATGTTTAACAGACATAAGATAATTTATACTGCAAAAAAAAACTACAAACCAGAAAGATGGACAATGCTTTTGAAAACACCTCAAACTTTTTTATTTTTTTGAGACGGAGTCTCACACTGTTGCCCAGGATGGAGTGGAATGGCGCGATCATGGCTCAGTGCAACCTCTGCCTCCCGGGTTCAAGCGATTCTTCCGCCTTTGCTTCCGGAGTAGCTGGGACTACAGGCACGTACCAGCATGCACAGCTAATTTCTGTATTTTTAGTAGAGACGGGGTTTCACCATGTTGGCCAGGATGGTCTCAATCTCTTGACCTCATGATCCACGCGCCTCGGCCTCCCAAAGTGCTGGAATTACAGGCGTGAGGCACCACGCCTGGCCTAAAACTTTCTTAAACATTAAAAAAAATACTTGATTGTAGGCAAGATAATTCATACTGAAGAAAACTTCTACAAGTGTGAACAATGTGGCAAAACTTTCAATGAATGCTCACACCTTATTGCACTGGAAAGCACATATTACTTAAGAAAAATTGTATAAATATAAAGACTGCAAAAGCCATTAATGTCCGTTCACATCTTACTCAACACTAGAGAGTTCATACTTAATAAAAGGAATATAAGTGCAATTACTGTCAAAAGATCTTTCAGAAAATACAAACCTTTCAAGTGAAGAGGAGTATTTATTTTGAAGATGAACATTCAGATGTGAAAAGGATTGTAGTACCTTTATTTGTATCACAGGTCTTATTGTTCACATTTTGTACTAGAAGAAAACTCTGAAGTAGTTGCTCAAATTTTGTTCAACATCAGAAAATTTATATTGAAGAAAAACTTTGCAAATTTAATAAATTTCAAGACACTTTTTAAAAAATACAGCCTAGAAGACTCCAGAGATTTTATACTAAAATATATTTTTGCACATGTAGTAAATATGAAAAAATATTTAATTCAAAATTAAGGCTATGTGAATATCAGAGAATTTACAGTAGAAATATATAAGACACTGACACCCCAGATATACTAAATCAGAGTGCTGGGTATGAAAAAATTAAAGTCGGTGGAAAAATTGTTTGTATATAACTTTAAAAGGAGTAGGTTTTTTAGAGAGTTATTACATTATACTTTATTTCTTCAAAAAAATACAGATTTTTAAAAAGTAAATAATGATGTCATTCAACTCTCAAATTATTTCCTGCTGTTTCTTCATTCCTGTTGTATTCACATGTGAAAGCACGTGATCAGTTAATGCCGCATTAAAGACATGAGATTCTTTTTTATTAGGTGGGCATTATTTATGGTCTTTTCCATGAAACAGTGAGGACATTAAAATGTAAGATGCATGACGAAAATATAAGTGAAGAGACTTTGTGGTTAACAATATTGAGTGATGCATTAGGTCGGTGTTCAGAGTAATATTCTTTTGCATTATGAGAAGAAAACATTTTTTATTTAAAATTAAATGAAAATATATTAGTATGTTATTGTACCAATTGTGCTTTTGTATAATAAAATGCAGTATGTTTAAAAAATATTAGATTATGTGTCAAGTTAATATTTTAATCCAACATTTTAAAAATGCTAAATACTATTGGCTGGGTGTGGTGACCCACGCCTGTAATCCCAGCACTTTGGGAGGCTGAGGCGGGTGGATCATGAGGTCAGGAGTTCGAGATCAGCCTGGCCAACATGATGAAAGCCTGTCTCTACTAAAAGTACAAAAAATTAGCCAGTATGGTGGAAGGCATCTGTAATCCCAGCTATTCGGGAGGCTGAGGTAGAGTTGCTTAAACCCGGGAGGCGGAGGTTGCAGTGAGCTGAAACTGCACCACTGCACTCCAGCCTGAACAACAGAGGGAGACTCTGTCTCAATAAATAAATAAACAAATACTATTGTACATTCAGCGAGGTGTTACTATATCACAAACTTTATTCTACGCAAGGGTATAGATAAGAGAGGATAACAATATACTATTTGGCAACATAGTGGATTAACATCTGGAGTAATCTCTTGTCAGTGGGTCTAAACTGCAAATTAATATTGTTTATGTTAAATTTTTTTTTAACAATTTGAGTTTATTTTTAAAAATTTTTGTGCGTACATGAGTGTGCCATATATGGCATATTTTAATATAGGAGTATATAATCGAATCAGGGTAAATGTATCTATCACCTGTAGCGTTTGTCCTTTGTAATACAAACAATCCAATTCCACACTTATTTTAAATGTACATTTGTTATTGATTACAGTTATTTTGTGGTCATAATAAAAATTATATGCAAGTATACATAAGATGAATACATTTCTGAGTCCTGAATAAATATTACTAAAATTGGCTCGCTCCGCTCCGTTCCCTGCCTCCGCGCCACAGCCGCCGAGCCTGCCGCCCCCGCCATGGAGCAGAAGACGGCTGTGCCACCCATGTCTGCCGATCTTGGCAAATCTGCCAGGGATGTCTTCACCAAGGGCTGTGCATTTGGCTTAATCAAGCTTGATTTGAAAACAAAATCTGAGAATGGATTGGAATTTACAAGCTCAGGCTCAGCCAACACTGAGACCACCGAAGTGACAGGCAGTCTGGAAACCAAGCACAGATGTACTGGGTACGGCCTGACGTTTACGGAGAAATGGAACACCAGGCACCAAGATTACCGTGGAAGATCAGCTTGCACGTGGCCTGAAGCTGACCTTCACTTCATCCTTCTCACCTAACACTGGGGAAAAAAATTGCTAAAATCAAGGCAGGGTACAAGCGCGGGAGCACATTAACCTGGGCAGCGACGCGGATTTCCACATTGCTGGGCCTTCCATCTGGGGTGCTCTGGTGTTGGATTATGAGGGCTGGCTGGCCGGCCACCAGATGAATTTTGAGACTGCAAAGCCCTGAGTGACCCAGAGCAACTTTGCAGTTGGCTACAAGACTGATGAATTCCAGCTACATACTAATGTGAATGACGGCACAGAGTTTGGCGGCTCCATTTACCAGAAGGTGAACAAGAAGTTGGAGACGGCTGTCAATCTCCTGGACAGCACGAAACAGTACCACGCGCTTCGGAAGAACAGCCAAGTATCAGATTGACCCTGACACCAGCTTCTCAGCTAAAGTGAAGAACTCCAGCCTGATAGGTTTAAGATACACTCAGACTCTAAAGCCAGGTATCAAACTGACTGTCAGCTCCTCTGGATGGCAAGAACGTCAATGCTGGTGGCCACGAGCTTGGTCTAGAACTGGAATTTCAAGCATAAATGAATACTGTACAATTGTTTAATTTTAAACTATTTTGCAGCATAACTACCTTCAGAATTTAGTGCATCTTTTAATATTGTATGTCTGGGATGCAAGTATTGCTAAATATGTTAGACCTCCTGATTAAGGATGATTCAGCTTTAAGATGTTACCCTTTCAGAGGTACAGAAGAAACACATTTCCAAAAAAGGTCTTTTCAGTGGTAGACTTGGGGGGAAATTGGTGGCCCCTTTGAGATGCCAGGTTTTTTCTTTATCTAGAAATGGCTGCAAGCGGAAGCTGATAATACATAGGCACTTTGTAAATTCATATTGAGTAAATGAATGCAATTGTGATTTCCTGAGAATCGGACCTTGGTTTCCCAACCCCAATTGATGAGAGGCTCACTGCTTCATGGTGTGTACAAACTCACCTGAATGGGACTTTTTTATATAGATCTTCATGACCGGTTCCCACCCCAGTTCATCGTCACCTCTTACACCAAAAGGTCTGCACGGTGTGGTCACTGTTTCTTTTGTGCCATTTTGGGGTAGAGAGGGTGGATGTGATGAAGCCAATAATTCAGGACTTATTCCTTCTTGTGTTTTGTTTTTTTTTTAAAGACGGGTTTCACCATATTGATCAGGCTGGTCTTGAACTCCTGACCTCAGGTGATCCGCCCGCCTTAGCCTCCAAAGTGCTTGGATTACAGGCGTGAGCCACCGCGCCCAGCCTAGTGTTGTGTTTTTTTGCCCTTGCACCAGAGTATGAAATAGCTTCCAGAAACTCCAGTTATGAGCTTGGAAGAGTCTGTGTGACTGTAATCACATGGTGACAACACTCAGAATCTAAACTGGACTTCTGTTGTATTCTCACCAGTCAATCTGCGTTTTTTTAGCAGTTTAATGGATACATTTGAGTCTTCCATTTTGTGTGGAATTAGATCCTCCCCTTCAAATGCTGTAATTAACATCACTTAAAAGAAACTTGAGGCCGGGCGCGGTGGCTCACGCCTATAATCCCAGCACTTTGGGAGGCCGAGTCGGGTGGATCACGAGGTCAATAGATCGAGACCATCCTGGTCAACATGGTGAAACCCCGTCTCTACTAAAAATACAAAACATTAGCTGGGCATGGTGGCGCGTGCCTGTAATCCCAGCTACTCAGGAGGCTGAGGCAGGAGAATTGCCTGAACCCAGGAGGCACAGGTTGCGGTGAGCCGAGATCGCGCCATTGCACTCCAGCCTGGGTAACAAGACCGAAACTCTGTCTCAAAAAAAAAAAAAAAGAAACTTGAATAAAATATTGAAATCTCAAAAGAAATATAACTAACATTTTCTTACATGTATTTTTGAACGAATGTGTGGCCTGTCTGCCTACAAACTCATACAGACTTAGTTTTGATTTACGTAGATTTAAATATCTATTAGTCTAAAGATAAACCTTAGTTGTAAGAAAACTATGAAGTGAGTTTGTGTATGAGTTTGTACCTGTTTTTGGTAAAAAAGCAATATAGGAACAAAAGTCGCCGGGCGCGGTGGCTCACGCCTATAATCCCAGCACTTTGGGAGGCCGAGGCGGGTGGATCACGAGGTCAAGAGATCGAGACCATCCTGGTCAACAAGGTGAAACCTCGTCTCTACTAAAAATACAAAAAATCAGCTGGGCATGGTGGTGCGTGCCTGTAATCCCAGCTACTCAGGAGGCTGAGGCAGGAGAATTGCCTTAACCCAGGAGGCGGAGGTTGCGGTGAGCCGGGATTGCGCCATTGCACTCCAGCCTGGGTAACAAGAGCGAAACTTCGTCTCAAAAAAAA